GCATAATTCGAGGCAAATTGCATAAGAATCGCATAAAATTGTAATAATCCGCCTGTTCGCATCAAATTCCATACAGTTGTACATGTTCTACAAGTACAAGTACAATGTAGATGCACTAGGAAGTTGTAGGTTTACGACTCCCTTGATAACATGTCCAGTCCACTACAATCAGTAGTCACATCCTTTATTGCTGAACCCACAAATGGGTTCAGCAATAAAGGATGTGCTCTGGATGGCAGTCTTGAGTCGGTCAAGTGTCAAGTAAAGTCGGCGGAATAGCGCGAGCTCCGGTGTGGGGAGCAAACCCTTTCTTACAAATCATCGCCGAAGTCGCAACCACTACTTCGTAAGGTTGTAGTGCTAGTATTAATGCAAGGATTACGGCAGACAGGGCGCGGGCATGGCGCCCAGTCTCTATAGACCTTATTCGATAACGTGATTTTTGGACTCGACTCCAGGGATTTGTTGTAAGCTGGGGCACGCGTACGTGAAACGAGTGGCAAGAAAGGCCCAGTTCGTACAAGGGAGTAGTAAAATACCGGTATTTTTCTACTCCTATGTTCCCACGCCGAGTCCTCTGTGCACTGAGTGCAGGTCTCTTGCCGCTCCCTGGTTCCCTGGAGGCCTGGACCCCGGTTAGGCCTTGACGGATTATGCTAGCATAATTTTTCGCATAATTCCTACCAAAATCGAATAATCGCATAATCGCATGTGCTAATATTTTCGTGAAATTATGCTTTTCGCATTGCTGAAAAAATTGGAGAATTATGCTATTTTTATGCTAAAAGTTATCATATTATGCCGCATTATGCTCACATATGCTGCTAATGCATAATGGTTCTGTGCAAAATAACAAGGGAATTTTTTTGTAGAGGGCGTTGTACTGTAATTGCAAAAGTTCAACGGGGTCAACGCTACGCTAGCTACGACCATAGGGTTCCCTGTAACAAGACGGCAACGTCTGTAGGGCCTTCCCTATCAAAATAATAAATTCTACTACTACTACTACTACTACTACTACTACTACTACTACTACTACTACTACTACTACTACTACTACTACCATCACTGATTGCTATACTACGTCATGTATTACAATTGGTACATGACTTAATAATAGCCGTTTGGCATGGTACAATAACCTTTTTTGTTTTATTTTTATTTTTAATGGCTTTCTCTTCTTCCTCGGATGGTTTACAATTTGTATCACAATTATTTGTGGGTTCAGCAATAAAGGATGTGACTACTGATTGTAGTGGACTGGACATGTTATCAAGGGAGTCGTAAACCTACAACTTCCTAGTGCATCTACATTGTACTTGTACTTGTAGAACATGTACAACTGTATGGAATTTGATGCGAACAGGCGGATTATTACAATTTTATGCGATTCTTATGCAATTTGCCTCGAATTATGCGATTATTCGATTTTGGTAGGAATTATGCGAAAAATTATGCTAGCATAATCCGTCAAGGCCTAAACTCGGATGTTGAGCCATAAATAAATGTGGAAGAGAAAAAGACATATGGATACGAGTTAAGATGTAATTGATGTGCAAGCCTTTTCTTGCAGAAAATAGAACTAGTCTTGCATATTAATGTTCTTCTGCAGGGGAATCATATGGGTAGCGGCGGTGATAATTCTTTTATATGCAGGTCATTCTGTGGATGTTGCTGTTGCAGAATTTCATGACTCTGTCATAAAATTGTCTTGTCTTTCAGAAAATTCAGATTTCCACACCCTAAATCAAATTTTACTTGAGAATTGTAACCAGGTGCGTACCGCATATGTTTTCGTTGATTCTGTGTTTATAATTGTAGTCATGGGTTGTCGTGATAAGGTCATCCTGCATCATATAGTTCTGAAATCGTAATCCTGTTGATGTCGACAAAACTTTTGGAAGCAGTTCAATGACTTCAAAATGTTACAAGTCCACGATTGTCTAAAACAACACAGCAAAGTAGGAACAATAAACATGTATTAAAATGTAAACAAATACATTGTTGAATCTGACACCTCGTTCCAACAACTACACTGATCCTGAGGATATAAGGGGCAAGGATATTATGGTTGGAGGTACTGAGAGATAAACAAGGCACTCCATAATAATAAAATGTTACACGTCTTTGGTGAGTGTGAATGATATCCAGTCAAACCTCTTTAGGACGAACATCAAGGGACCGATGGTATTTGTTCTGTGAGTTTGTCGTAACCCTATTTTATAACCAGTGAAAATAGAGACACGAATAGATTTCTTCTACAGCGAAAGATTCTAAGCCAGACCAAACCATTGACTCGTCTTGTATGAAACAAATGAGTCACTGAACCTTTTTTCAGCAACATGGCGGCAACTGAAACAACAACAGAGAAAATACGATACATGTACAGCACTTTCTTGCAGGTACTACAAACAGATTGCAGATCGCTTGCTCTGCCGGCACGCAACTTTATTTGGGGCAGTGCAATCTCGGCGCTACTCACAAATCAAACAGCCCTGACTCGACTAAACAAATCCAATCGTAAGAGATTTTCACGAGACTGCACCGATTGGCTTGTTTCGTATGAAGCAAACAAGTCACTGAATGCATGAACCTCTCCATAAAGGAGATTTTCCCTGATATGCGAATTTATTTTGCAGACTTGGCCAATGCGTCCTTGAAACTTTTCTTTCCTGATATGCCAATTTATTTTGCATACTCGGCCAATGCGTCCTTTAATAATAATATCTTTATTAGGATGACCCAGAGGCTTGTCGCCTATCACCGTTCTCTCCAGATTGGGAACTGCCAACGATGCTATGCCACTGCAAAATTCAGATTCTACCCTATGATCGGAGCACGGAATGCCGGAAGCAATCATGACCAGTGCCTTACTTGTAACGTTCCAATGTACAATGAACATGAGAATTTCGACAACACATCTTATGATCTAAGCTTCAGCAGCAACATAAGCCTTACCGTCAAGAATGTGATTTCGCCTTCTTCGCACACTGTGGGCAAGGGCAAAGAGATACGAGTGGATCTAAATCCGAATAAAATCAGCACACGTTTCCGTAAAGGAAAGGGTGAGCATAAGCAAATGAATCGAAGGAAACTGGTCAACGCAGAGATCACCTGTCATTGAGTATTCGATAAAAGGAGGCCTCGACAGCAGAAAAGCTAAATTTAGAAAAGAGAACCTGTCAGCTTTTCCATTATTTATTGTATTCCACCTAAAATCAGCACACTTTTCGTAAATGAAAGAGTCAACACAAGCAAATGAATCAAAGGGAACTGGTCAACTCACCTGTCATTGAGTAATATTCCGTGAAAGGACGTCTCAGCAGAGCCGAAGCGAAATAAGCCAGGAGACGAAATAAGCCAGGAGACGAAATATCCGAAACAGCTCATGTAAGAAGCAGTTTCAAAGAAGGAAGTTCCTCGCGCATGCACATCCGAAAACGGACTGCATGCACTGCAGCACAATGCCTGCCGTGCACATGCACAGCACGCGGCTACCACGCGTTGGTAGATTAATACCGAGCATCTTACGTAGAAACTTACGTAGCCTAAGTGAAATACCGAGCACCTTACGTAGAAACTTACGTAGCATAGCGATGTCGTTTTTTCTGCCATGTGATCAGTCTCCACTGTGCAGTGCATATGATCAGTCTCCACTGTGCAGTGCATATGGGCACGCATGTACTTGCACATGCACCTAGCTGAAAGCAGCTTCTAGTCGAATCATGCTTCTGTGTCACAACGTGCTTGGCAAAGTCGGCTTCTATTCGAGTCATGCTTTTATACGCGACACTACGAGGTGATTCGTCATTATTTAACACGAAAGTAAAAAAGCCTTCCGTAGGGTTCGAGGTGTGAATCTTTCCATTTCATCCTCTAAAAATGTAATACTGATGTCCTTGGATTGCAATGTTGGGATTCTCATTCACATAATCCCTGGTGTTGGGAAGCAGGTGGCAGTTGAAAAATGGCAATTTTTCCGCATATTATTTGTTGTGGTCATTTCTTAACATCGTGGTAAAATAGGCCTTAGCAGCACAATTTCAAGTCAGTTTTCAATAGAAGGAGACACTACGTCTTCAGGATGGTCCAGCAAGACTTGATCAAGATCATGTTCATCCAAATACAAGCCATTCAAGCTTACATAGCAATAGGTGTATCACCCTGATTTCATGTGTAATTGTGATCAACATCTGTTAGCAAATTCAGTGATTGCCAATGTTTGGCCATTACTAGGGCCAACACACCGACATTCCTCCTTCCTAGGCGTCGTTTCCAGTATGTAGCTATCATATGCTTCCTATTCAGCTAAATATGTTGTCACTCGAGGTTGAAACCAGCGGCTATGACTCTCTTATACTCTATTTTACCGTAAACATCGCGCACATGCAGACTGAAAGCTCTTGCAATGTCACTTCCTGAAGGAATATCAGTCTCAATTTTGGAGGCGAACTTGACAGAACATTGGCAATGGCAATGGCAAAAAGAAATTTGACGTGACTTTTTGCAGGTGCTTGCAATGAGATATTTTACAGATTTGTTAAGAAATGACTCAATGTTAAAAAATTACGAATCACCTCGTACAGTATCTGTTCTGATGAAATCCCCAAATCGCAGCCATCTCGCATCCCACTCAACTGCCGCAACTGGGCCATCGCAGAAGTTGAGCTTGGCTCAACTTTTGCGATGCGACAAGCGATTTGGCGTACGATTTAGACCTTTTCTACAGCAAAGATGTACAAAGGTTCAAGAGTTGCCTAAAAATTTGTACAAGTTGTACCAAACCGCGCAAATATCATGGTGACGTACCCAAATCAGCAAGACGTCGCATCGCTGACTTCTTCTGTGAAGTATATAATAACACATGGTACGGAGGGCATTATGGCTGATTTATGCCCTAGTGCGTAGCCCGAGGTCGTGCACCGTAGCCCAAGGGCCGCAGGCCCGCGGGCTACGGTGCACGACCGAGGGCTACGCACTAGGGCATACAATCAGCCATAATGCACGACGCACCATGTCAGCTCGCAGATTCCCAGTTCTGGTGGTGCGGTCCAGACATGTCCGGGTTACACACGCCGTCCCCAGGAAAGGCATTGTCAGCAACAGCGGCGGCAGAGCTGAAGAAGCCTGCAGTTGAGATAGCTCATTTCAGTTATCTGGCGATCGCCGCCTTGCCCGCATTGGATCCAGAGCGCTACAGCAGCCTCCTCAAGCTGGCCCGGGTCATTGCCTGGATCAATCGCTTCTCAAGCAACGCAAGACGCCTGAACACTGAGCGAGTGTCAGGCCCCCTGTCCGTAGATGAGATCCGCAGTGCCGAGTATGTCATCATACGTCAGTGCCAGCAGTCAGCCTTCCCAGAGGAAATCAGTGCTCTACAGCGGGGAAAGCCTATCTCTCCTAAGAGTGTGCTGAGCAGCTTACAGCCGCAGCTCGACGAAGATGGTATTCTGAGGTGTGGTGGTCGGTTGCGCTATGCAGAGCATATTTCGGATGATGCCAGGTGCCCGATCATTCTGCCCCGCTCGAGCAGAGTAACCACTTTGATAGTGAAACGAGCACACGTCCGCCTGTTTCACGTCGGTGGAACCAATCAGACCTTGGCAGCGCTCAGCCAACGGTTTTGGATAGTTTCGGCCAGAGAAGCTATTCGTGAGTATGAGCAGCAGTGTCAAGCGTGTCGACGGCAGAAAGCAAAGACCCTGCAGCAGGTCATGGCTCCTCTACCGAGTCACCGTACGAAGCCGTCATTGAGTGCGTTCGCTACAACCGCGGTTGATTTCTGCGGACCATTCTTCACGAAGCAGGGACGAGGACGAGCCCAGTGTAAGCGGTACATGGCTGTCTTTACTTGCACCGCTACGCGAGCAGTTCATCTCGAGCTGGTGAATGACCTCACCACCGATGGATTTCTCAACTGCTTGAGTCGGTTTGTCAGTCGTCGTGGAACGCCTACAGATATCATCTCGGATAACGGCACCAACTTCGTCGGCGCAGTCAATGAGCTGCAACAGTTGGTCGGCAAAGTCAACCAGCAGCGAGTAGCCAACAAGTTGTCTGCTATTGGAGTGACTTGGCACTTTAACCCACCAGCAGCACCTCACTTCGGAGGAATTCATGAGTCCATGGTCAAGAGCGCCAAGAGAGCAGCCTACGCCATACTCACCCGAGCAGATATCACCGATGTAGAGCTAGCAACGTGCTTTGCCTCAGCTGAAAGCATGCTCAACTCGCGTCCCCTAACGTATCAGTCAGCTCACCCGTCGGACGACATTCCATTGACGCCAAACCACTTCCTCATCGGCCAAGTCGGTGGTCAGTTCGCACCAGCTTGCAGCGAAAGTAGCTTCAGCCCGCGCAGGCGCTGGCGCGCTGTGCAGCATCTGATTGGTCAAGTGTGGACTCGCTGGATGAGAGAGTGGGTACCTCTTCTCAACCCGGCCAAGAAATGGAGGCAAGAGTTGCCAGACCTGAAGGTCAACGACGTGGTGGTAGTGGCATCTAACGATACACCACGTGGGCAATGGCCGTTAGCACGCGTAATGGAAGTCTATCCCGGCAAGGATAACCATGTACGAGTGGTGAAGCTGCGTCTAGCAACCGGTAAGAGCCTTGTGCGGCCTATTGCTAAGCTATGTCCGTTGTGTTGAAGCCCCCGCGGTTCATCAAGGTGGGGAGAATGGACAGGAGACTGCACTCTTGAACATTATCCTTTCATGTTGTCACATGTTGCACGTTGATACTATTAGCGTATTGTAGTTACGAATTGTGTACAGAACTGTCACATACTGCAAGGGCAGTATTGTCAAGACATGCTAGGTCGCTTGCAATATTGGTGCGTTGCGTATTACTGCTATGTATTTCGCGAGTGTAATAATTATTTTGTTAGTCTGTTAGAATTACATCACGAGTGCATGTCTGTTACGTCTACGTCGAGACACATTTTTACGATACAGTAATTGCTATGCGTGTTCGTACCACGCCATGTTCACGAGCGGAATATCTTGTGAATTGTTCTAATGTATTATATAAGTAGAATTGTTGACACACTAATTGGTTGCAATGTACATGTACTTACTAGTACTTGATCCGTTGCATTATCGCCATCCGCGGCAACTCCGCTACGATCTACTTGGCGAAACTTACTCTCGCTGACAGGGTGTGCTGTCACCCTGTCGCTGGGTGCAAGCACCCCTTGACAGACACTGTTTTCACCTCCGTAACCAACAATTCTTTATTCTTTCACTCCAGCACATTGCAAGTCATTATTAGTTTCTGCTTGTTCTGCATTTCAAATTATTGCTTTTCTTTTCGTTGCATGCACTCGTACAAGTCCGCGCTGCACGCGGACTTTGGCAGTCGCCACATTTAGTATCTCTATGGCTACGATGATCATGCATTTTCTGTACGCTGCATTTTCTCTCTATGCCACGTCGTTGTGTGCATGCATGCAGCGCAAGCCAAATGCACGCACGCTGCACGTTTTGCCCAGGACAGCGATTTGGCGATCGTTGTTCGGTGTGTTCTTTGGTGTTCTTGTTGAAAACGAGTGGTAATGTCGATTAAAGGAGTTTCTGGGTTTTTGTGGTCTGCCTGACGATGGTTAGTTGCGGGACCAAGTCGCACCGCAACATTGCCATCATAGACAATGACGACGACTACGACATTAACAACAGCAGCAACAACAACAAACAACAATCTATGCTTGTGTACACAAGAGAGATTGGAAGCTGTGTCGCAACTCTGATATTCACGTATTACTACGATCATCAGGCAGCAATATGCTTGGGCATGAATGTATCCATGCTTGGCGCTTGGTTTTTCGTCCATCTTTAATTAAAATAAGGTACTAGTATTTCACTTAAAGGTCATACTGAGCTCCGCTGACGAGATTTTTGGGTGGCTTTCCCTTTCCTGGCATGTTCCGGGCGTGGTCGGTGTACACCAGGGAGTCGTACCCAAACCGGTTTGGGTACGACTCCTTGGTGTACCCACAACATCGGTTCCAGAGTTTCACTGCATAAAACCATACTTTAGATAGGTAGATGTACATGATTGTACTGTATTGATGTAGTGCTGCGACCATCCGCATGCATAGTCTCTACTGGACATTGCTTGCTTGAGCTTGAAGTCGACTTGGTGTTTGATTACTGTACTGCTTGATGTCTGGATTCCAATTTTTCTATTTTCTTTTCTTTCCCTTTCCACTTATCCCTTTATCGGCCCTCTTAAGAGTTGTGTATATCACTGTTGAGGCATCCGATGGTAAATAAAATAAATACTACTACTACATTGTACTAGTACTGAGTTTACCAAACATGTAGATCTACCATTACTATTAGATTGGACCCGGGTAGCATAGTATAGCACCATCATTGGCATAACTCCACCATCATGTACCACAATCACTCGCATACTTTGGGCATAGTGGAACTTGAGCATAATTCACCAAATTACCGAGCATAATCCGCACAGGACTAGCCGTTAATTCAACATGCATGTGCAAGATTCGCCTGCATCTAGCACACTCCATAGTGTACCTGTACATGCACATGTACAATGTCAAAAACGGGTTTATTTATTCAATCAACACGACATGGAAAGAAGGAAGAAAACCAAAGATACAAGAGATGAAACTCGGCGATAAAATGAAAATAGTCCAATCTAAAGAAACTCTAGGCAGATGGGTCAAGGTTGTGTAAAAGATTCAACTCAATCACTAGACGAATGCTTTGAAGAATGTAAAGTGGGCATGAATGATTCACACTGAGATGTTGGCCCGCCGAGAACAACATAATAAATACATGTACATGTAGAAGTAAATAAGGAAAACAATACAGAAACGCAACAGTGACTGAGAAAAAAAAGTAGCTACACAATGTCACAATCCGACCATCAGGACAAAAAGTGGAACAGTGGAACTCGCTGCCTGCAGCTGTTTGTGGTAGCCAATGCCTAACCCAGTTTAACCTGGCGGCCACACACCATACTCTTGTACTCATTTGATTTTCCTCGAAACCTGCGCTATCTACGCTGTAGCACTATTGCTCCTTTTCTACTCTTCCTTAACTCTCTCTCTCTCTCTCTGGTATTCGCATTCTTGTGATTGGGCATACTTGCCCGTTTGAATCGCGAAATATAATAAAAAACAACAACAATAACCACAACCCCCGCTCAAGTTACGGCCCAGTAAAGCCGTCGACACGCAGGCATTTGGCACCTCCCACCCTCCAGAACCGATCGCTGTAAAGACTCCCCACTGTACAAGTGTAGCGGGATTGAGGCTCCAGTCTCTCCGGAGGCGTGGGTTCGAATCCCACCGCTGCCACCAATTTGTAGCGGGCCGCAGTCTCTCGGAGGCAAGAACGCACAAGGGTCTCAGTGAACACACTGTAATTGGCAATTGAAATGTACTGGCAACGAAATTAACTATCTGGCAACTAAATTAACTAACTGGCTATGAAATTAACTAACTGGCTATAAAAGAATCGTGCGCAGCAGCTTTGATACAAAGGCAGACTCCGTACGCTAATGTACGGGGATATGCTATACTCTAATCACTATACGCTTTGAAGTCCCCAGCGTGCCAACGCTACACAAGTCCCTACAAAATATTTTTGTCGGATACTACAATGCCCTCCCTGCTAGCATCCGTGACGTCTCCTCCCGACCTGCTTTCAAACAAGAAATCTGCTCACTGCTGATTAACTCAATCTCCTCCTGCAGCGCTCACCGTCTCCCATACTTGTAAAATTCAAAGTGATGTAAATCACTTTCCAACTGCATAACCCACAGCCCCACCCACAGCATCTCACCTTCTCATAAACGTATCTCTTATTGGCGATGGTGCCATCGTGAGAACAAAGAATTCAAACAACAACAACAACAACAAAAACAACAATGACAACAATAACAACAACAACAACAACAACAACTTTTTTGATCTAAGCAAGGCCTTCGATCGTGTGTGGCATGCAGGCCTTCTAGCAAAATTCTCCCACTATGGTGTCCAGGGCAACGCCCTGGAGTGGTTCCGACGGTACCTGTTGGGGCGTTGGCAGAGGGTCCAGGTGGATGGCGACCTATCGCCTTTCCTCGAGATCCCTGCCGGCGTCCCTCAGGGGTCTGTTCTTGGGCCGCTTCTCTTCCTCGTCTACACCATAGACCTTCCACACGCATGTGAGAATCCCGGCATCACCTGTAGCCAATTTGCAGATGACACCGCTCTGATTTCCATAGCGAGAACTCTTCAAGACTGCACCCGAAACCTACAACAGAGTGTCACAGCAGCTGGAGACTGGCTTCAAAGATGGCACTTGCTGGTCAACACAAAGAAAACAGTCATCCTCCCGTTCTACCACAATAACCGCCCCCCTGAACAGCTACTCCAGATCACCCTCAGGAATAGTCCGCTTACCGTAGAACAAAAACACAACACCTCGGAATAATCTTTCAGCATGACCTCCGTTGGACGGAGCATGTTGAATACATAGTCAAAAAATCACACATGTCTTTCAATATTCTTTTTAGACTAAGGTCTACACTCACCAGTGATTCTTTATCTCACATCTATCAGACATACATGTACATACTACCTATATTCTCATATGCGAGCACTGCTCTCACACCGTTGTCACACACTTCCCTTGACAGGCTAGAACGACTCCAGCGGAAAGCCGCCAGAATATGTCTCCACCTTCCCCTTTACACACACTTAGAACACTCCCCCCTTTTGCGTCGCATCAAAGGGCCAACATTATTTTCACGCTTTAAAGTTAAACATATACTCTTCGCTCATTCTCTGCGCCACAATTATGCCCCACCACATATACTCTCGCTGCATACTGCTAGCAACGTGCAACCTTCGTATAATTTACGTCGCTCTCGTACTTGGCACTTGCCAACTCCGAGGACTGATCACTGTCTCCATTCTCCCCTGGACAAGGCCCTTCATTACTTTAATTGCTTGCCCACCCAGCTTCGCGAAATCCCTTCTCGTACTCTCTTCAAATCCCAGATATCCCTGCTGTTGCACAACTCTGTATGCTCGTGTAGCGACCACCCCTGCCCGTACACTTAAGTAATCATTAACCCCTAGGCTCTGCCCAACCAATTCTTCCTCACTCTTTCTCCTTTCTTACACTATTATCTCTTATTGGCCACTGGCTATCGTGAGAATAAAGATTTGAAACAACAACAACGAGTTCGACCATAGAATAATGTATTGCCATGATTTCTACCCTGCTTTTCATTGAAAACACTATCTGAATAACTAACAAACTCTTTACCATGCAGACCACCAGCACTGATCGGGTGCATTGTACACGATTGTGTAGCGCACATGTTAGGACTGTGGTGCAATCATGTACTTCAGTAGTTATGCTCCTGTTACCTGCGAAAGGATGCCATATTTATGCTCTAAATTTTCAACCACCAACTTATGCCAATAAGTATGCCGGCATAATCCGCCGGTGCCTAGCAGCAGCCGCAGCAACAGCAACAGCAACAACAAGAACAACACAAACAGCAGCAGTAGCAACAGAAACAGCAACAACAATCACCATCACCAATAGGAGCTAGACTAGAGCAGGTCCGGCTGCCTGCCACCAAGACCACAGCCCAGGCCTGACCAGCTCGACTGCATGCAGTG